GTTAAAAGAGAGGCCAGAATTGTGGGGAAAGTGATTAAACTAGGAACAGGAAGGAGAAGAACTGGCTGAGCAAGATTAAGGGATGACTTAATTACTATCTGTAAAGTACTTCCACAGGGAACAAATATTTGATAATTGTTTTTTTCCATCTAGCAGAGAACGATATAACTCTATCCAATGGCTGGAAGTTGAACCTAAACAAATTCACAGAGGAAAAAGGTTTTTTTTTTTTTTTTTTAAACAGTTAATTTTTTTTTAACAGTTACCAAAGGTTTTCATGGATCCCCTATCATGAGCTATTCTTAAACTATGCTTGAGCATTTTTCTTAAAGAAAAGCTCTAGGAATTTTTTTGAGGCGGTTTTTATGGACAGTGTTATAAAAAAGGTCAGAACAGATGGTCACAATAGTCCCTTCTGGTCTTGGAATGGGGTTATGAGAGAACTATGGCTAGTTGGGCAAAGAGCCTATTCTTGGATAAAGTTAACCCTTTCTCCAACCAAGGCACAGCATGCGGAATGTTACTTATCCTGTGGCCAATCAATCCCAAAACACAAGTGAACATATTTCAGTAATGCTGTGCATATAAAATATGTCAAATATTTTAGGATCCCCACAATGAAACGTGTTGTATAGGAGGGAATATTTTATTACTTCCAACCATATTTAAACTAATTTCTGCCAAAAAACGACCTTCCCAGAGAAATCTCTGAAAGTCACGGATCATAACTAAAAAATGACCAGAACACATTCTAGTACCCTCCACTCAATAATCATGTTTGCTGGAATGCAGAAGATCTTGGAAGTTCTTGGAAATGTTTGTATTTCAAATGCTGAGGTGAAACCTAATGAAAACACCCACTAAATAGACTGCTTTATTTCTGGCCATTGTAATGAGTGGGTATGCAACACAATGCAGTTAATACTGAGGTGGTGTCACAGGAATTACTTTTTTACTGATCCCTAAGACAGGTGGTGATGGTTAGTCTGTGACTGTTAGTACATGTTTATAAACAGTAAATAAACAGTATAAAAACAAGGGGGAAACACATAGAAATATGTATGAAGTCTGGATTTAATGTAATCTGTTGTTCAAATCAATATTAGCAAATTGGAAGTGTCTTGAATACCATACATTATCAAGACAGACACGCAGCAATCCAGTCCTTTACATGCTGAAATCATTATTGACTAATTCTTGAGACTTCCACTATGTCAGTAGTGACTAAATTTCTCTGCAACAGCTTTGTGGCTAGAATTCCAGGTAGGATACGATTAATCAAAGACACAGCAGTAATGAATTGTCATTTGCTGTAAAATTTCAAATAACTACAATACTATCTGCTATTACTGTATCGCCAAATTTGACTTAGCTAGTATGAGTGCATATAATCGAAACTATGCATTAAATTGCAGAACCAGTAACCTGATTTCAGCATAACAGACCATTAACATACTCATCACTGATACATTATTGTAAGAAGCCTTAAAATATTTGGTCCTCATTATCACTTCATTACAGTTTTTAAATATACATACACACACACACACACACACACAATTACATGGACATGGAAACTATGATACATGAATATTATGTGCAATTAAATACAAAAGCCACAACATTATTTAACAATCTATAGTAAACTGGGATAACCATCCAAACTACTGGGCCAAGGTTAACATTCATTGATTCAGATGCACACTCACCACAGAAAAATGGCCAGTCTGGATTTCACATCCCTGAACCTCCTCCCCCTACTTCCTTGTCAGATATAGGAGAGATAAGGAAGCCGCAAGCTCTAGACACAAAGGCATATCCCTTTAACACACCATGTAAGTGCCCTATACCAATGGATGAACAGCCTCCTGGGTTCAAGGCCCTACAAATGGATCCTTCCTAAACCCCAAACAACACTGGAACATGCCAAACCTGGGACACTAATTTTTCACTTCCAAAAATCAGATTTCCTGGAAACTAAGTAGATGGAAAAACCCATACCAGTTTTGATAGGAGGAAAAAAACTCCCCACCGAAACTTCAGCTTCAGAGTTAATCAATCCAGCACATTCAGTCTGAAGCGGGACAGGTGGATCTGAAATGACGTACCTGCGAATGACTGCACAATTCCTGAAAAGCCGCTTATGTACCTCCTCACTTCATACCCCATTCCCCACCCAGTTGAGCATAGGAACATACGAACTACTGCATTGGACGGGATGAGAAATTCCAAAAAAAAAAAAAAAATCAGACAGCAAAAATAATTTTGAGTTGAATGCCAATAATCTATTTGCACCTTTCTCCAACCCCAAATAAAGCTTGGGCTTTAACACTAATGCATTTTATCACTTCAATACAAAGTGATTTGTATTACCACCATCTGTGTCCTAAGTAAGTCTGAACAACTTCCCCCCAAAATATAACTGTGTTGAAGGTCTTGACCCATACAATATGGTAGTTGGTGACATTCAGACTAAGCACTTTAGGTGGGGCAAAGGGTCGGCAAAGCATCAAGGGCTAGACTAAGAGGTTAGATTGCTAGCTATTTTTACAGAAACACAGAAAGGATTGTGAACTACTGAATCATCAAACAAACAGCCTAGAGAAAGCAGAATGGGTGCAGCAGACCTGCCATTAGTCCAAGGGTTGGCAAATACTGGCCTGCGGGCCAGATCTGGTCTGCTAGGGTTAGGCCTTGGCAGGCCCTCACACCACCATATTTGCCTGCAACATCGCAAATACAGGCAGTCCCCAGGTTACGTACAAGATACTGACTGTAGGTTTGTTCTTAAGTTGAATCTGTATGTAAGTCGGAACTGGCGTCCAGATTCAGCCACTGCTGAAACTGACCGCCAGTTCTGACTTACATACAGATTCAACTTAAGTCAGAACTGGCGGTCAGTTTCAGCAGTGGCTGAATCTGGACGCCAGTTCCGACTTACATACAGATTCAACTTAAGAACAAACCTACAGTCAGTATCTTGTACGTAACCTGGGGACTGCCTGTATTTGCGATGTTGCAGGCAAATATGGTGGTGTGAGGGCCTGCCAAGGCCTAACCCTAGCAGACCAGATCTGGCCCGCAGGCCAGTATTTGCCAACCCTTGGACTAATGGCAGGTCTGCTGCACCCATTCTGCTTTCTCTAGGCTGTTTGTTTGATGATTCAGTAGTTCACAATCCTTTCTGTGTTTCTGTAAAAATAGCTAGCAATCTAACCTCTTAGTCTAGCCCTTGATGCTTTGCCGACCCTTTGCCCCACCTAAAGTGCTTAGTCTGAATGTCACCAACTACCATATTGTATGGGTCAAGACCTTCAACACAGTTATATTTTGGGGGGAAGTTGTTCAGACTTACTTAGGACACAGATGGTGGTAATACAAATCACTTTGTATTGAAGTGATAAAATGCATTAGTGTTAAAGCCCAAGCTTTATTTGGGGTTGGAGAAAGGTGCAAATAGATTATTGGCATTCAACTCAAAATTATTTTTGCTGTCTGATTTTTTTTTTTTTTTTTTATTTTTTCCTCCCGCAGATCCGACAAGTCGGATCCGCGTAAGTCGGGGACTGCCTGTACAGAGGATCACAGCTCCTGTTGGGTGTGGATCACCATTGCCAATGGGAGTAGCAATCACCCATAGCTGTGGAAGTGCGGGGTTAACCCTGGTGAACCACTGCTGTCTTATTGCCCACTCCTGCATTAGCTCCATGAAGACCTCAAGAATTAGACAAGAAACTGATTACTAACAAAGATGTCAGGATGAGGTAGAGATAGGGGCACAGGCAGGCACTGAGATAAATCTTCCAGAAGACCATTCAAAATTATCTGGAAAGGGAACTCTGTGACTTAAGGGGTGGAGGGGAGAGGCGAAGAACATTCCTCCAGGTAAGCAGTGCATGGTTTCAAAGAATTGTTTTAAATTTAAAAGAAGAGAGGAAAAGGAACATAAGCACCTTCTGTTGTTAGTATTATTGCAGCAATTGGGAATAAGGAGAGTGGCTCTTCATTACAGTGTAAATACTTATTTTGCATGAGCTTGTGCATGCTAAGTAATTTATAACCAAAACAGCATAAATTACTTACTGTATATTTGCAGTAGGCAAATTTAGCCTGAAACAAATTAGTGGATTACAGTTAAGTATCTGTATGTAAAACTTTAAAACCATTTGCTCCATTATCCTACTCCCACCATGTATGCATCATGCTGCAAAGAATGAGATTAGAAACAAAGTATCAGCAGAGTGCTAGATGGAAAACAGCAGCCTTCAGTGCTTTACTTAAAGGCAGGAAGAGACTTAAACCACAGTGCAAGTGCTAGCCATGACAGAGAAATAAAAGAGCTCTTCCTCCCCCACCCCTGGATGGTTACGTCTACACTGTATACCTTATTACAGAACCATGTAGGGTGGGGTGGTCAAAATTTTTTGATGGGAATAGGGTGCAGAAGGGAGCTCAAGGTAGAGGACTGGAGTGCAGGAGAGGGTGTGGGGAGTTTGAAGTGATGGAGCTCAGAATGCTGGGGGAATAGTGGGGTGGGAGCCTGGCTGCAGCTGGTTGGGTCTCATCAGACTGCTCTAATTTTTTTAAAAAGGAATCTGAATAAAACAGACATTAGAAAAATGTTAGTCAAATGGCACTTTTAAACACCATAACTAACCCTACAGCATATTTTATAACCACAAACTGCAATAGGAAATTCAAGGAATGCCTAACCTACAACAAACATTTGCAGTAGATCTTATAACTCAAAACAAACCTTTTATAGACATTTTTTACTAAGTGTGGAAATGGAAATCCTGATGCAAGGTCATCACAGGGGTGCTACCACCCCACTATAATGCTTTACAGACTAGACTTTCAAATAACATTTATACTTCTATGGTGTATCACACATGCAAAAGCAGTCTTCCATGTTTTCTTCAAAAATAATGTTTTAGGTTATAATGTAAGCTAAAATACAACAGGTGAGTTATTCAAAAGTATCTAACTGAATTACATGCCTAATTCCCACTGACTGTTGATATAAGCTGCTGAGCATGCCCAGCCATGATCACATCCATGTTTTTTATTTTTCTGGGCCCTACTAGAGAGGCTCCCTATTCTACACTCTGCACAAAGATTACTCCCGCAAATCCAGTCCTCTTTTCCTTTAGTCTTAAAAAGTAATCACGTAAAAGCAAGTAGAGTACACTTGTTCAGCTACAACTGCACGATTATGTCAAAGTAAGCCTACGTGTGGGAAAGAACAAGAGGAAGTTACTCATCTTGGTGCAGTAACAATGGTTCTTTGTGATGTGTGTCCCCATGGGTGTTCCATTGTTGGTATTAGGTTGTCCTGGCACTGCAGATCAGAGTTTTCATGAGCAATAGTCAGCCAAACTACGCATGTACGGCTCGCACCTCGAGCCATTCGCGCCCTTTGACTCACGTGCATGTCCAGCTCCCACCAGTTCCTCGAGTCCACCCCGGTATCTGAAAGGCATAATAAGGAGACTCCGAAGGAGAGAGGAGAGCAGGTAGCGGAGCACCAACAGGGACACATCTCGAAGAACCATCATTGCACCAAGTTAAGTAACTTCCTCCTCTTCTTCGAGTGATGTTCCCATGGGTGCTCCACTATTGGTGACCGCGTTACAGTACTCAAGAGTAAGTGGGAAGTGGGCCTCAGAGTCGTGGCTTATGAACAGTCGATAGGAAGGGAGAATGACTGGTTCATTTATATCAAAGTCCAAACAAACTTTGAGGATGAAGGAAGGATGCAGGTGCAGTATCACGTTGTCCTTATTAAAAATGGTGACAGTGAACAGGTGGCTAAAGGCTCAAAGGGGACTGAGCAGTCGTCTATTGGTTGATGAAAAGCAATAATAATTGCCAAATGCACTTTTAGGGAGGCTAGGGCCAACCCAGCATCCTTGAGGAATAAGATGTAGTCCAGAATTTCATGCAGAGGAGCTGTGCTTGAGTCCAAAGCCGTGTTAGAACATCACGAATGGAATCTATGCCATTTTTGGAGGTAAATGGAATGGGCAGATTGCTTCCTGCTGTGCCAAAAAAAACCTCTTTCACTTGGTTTGAACAGTGAAGTTCCCCTTCACAGAACCAACAATGAGCTATGCTGCCAGGTGTAGGACATATGGCTGTGGGTGGAGTAAGGTTCCGTTGTTCTGAGTTAAGAGGTCGTGATGAATGGGAAGATGATAGGGTGGCTGAGGAGACATCCGATGCAGATAAGGGAACCATATCTGTCATGCCCAAAATGGGGCTATGAGAATAACCATTGCCTTGTCTCTGTTGATCTTTTCCAACACTCTGTGAATAAGTGGAGTAGGACGGAATGCGTATAAAAAGGGACCTTTCCAGTTGAGGAGAAAGGTGTCCCCTAGCGATCCCAGTCCAATGCTGGCTCTGGAGCAAAAATGTCGACATTTCTTGTTTTTGTAGTATGTGAACAGGTTTATTTTCGGATGAATCCCATGGGTGGAAGATGGATTGGAAAACCCAGAGATTGAGCTCCCACTCATCGTCTGGGGCTAAGTGCCTGCTTAGGGTATCTGTTATGTTCTTGATGCCCGGTAAGTATGAAGCTGCCAAAATGACTCTGTTTTGTATGCACCAGTTCCATAGCTGGACTGCTTCGGTGCATAGAGAATGGGATTGAGCACCCTCTTGGCAATTTATATAATACATTGTTGTTATACTGTTGGTCAATATTCTGATTATGTTGCCTAACGCTATGGATATGTGTAACAAAATGCTTGCATGCATTGAAGACAGCCCTGAGTTCCAATAAATTGATATGTAAAGTAGTCTCTCAAGTCATCCAGCATCCTTGTATTGACATGCTGCCCATGTGAACTCCCCATCCAATGAGGAAAGCACTGGTAGTTATGTGGGCCGAGAGCTGATCTCGATGGAATGGGACGCCTGCCAGAAGCCTGTCTGTATTGGTCCATCATTTGAGAGTTCTTAAAACATGGGGAGGAGGGGAGACTTGTCTGTGCACTTGTCGTCTGAGGTGGGTATAAACAGATGCAAGCCAGTGTTGGAGGCATCGAAAGTGTAAGCGTGCATGGTTGACCACATGAAGGCAGGTAAGTATTGGAACTGTAGGACGGGTTGTGAGGGTGACTATAAGGTCTTGGATGACTTGAAATTTTTGGAAGGATAGGAATTGCTGAGATAGTTGAGTGCCTATAAACTCCAGGATTTGTGTAGCCTGTAGTATCGATTTCTGTACATTGAGGATAAGATCCAGGAGTTCCAAAGTTTGCATGGTTTTTAATATCATTTGGTGTGTGTCTGTTTCGGATGAGCCTTTTACCAAACAATCTTTCAGGAAAGGAAAAATGATGATGGCCCGTCTGCGAAGGTAGGCCACGACGACAGCAAGCATCTTTGAAAACCCTCTGGGTGCAGAAGGAAGACTGAACAGTAGTACCAGGTATTGGTAATGGTCTGATCCCATCACGAAACATAGGAATCATCTGTGCGCAGGGTGAATAGTAATGTGACAATAGGCATCCTGTAGGTCGAGGGCTGCAATCCCTTCTCTAATGCTGGGATTATGAATGTTAGGGTAACCCATTTTGAATAGTTGCTTTTGGAGGCATCGATTCAATCTGCGGAGGTCTAGAATAGGCCTATAGCCTCCTGTCTTTTTTGGGGTGAGAAAGTATCGATTCAATCTGCGGAGGTATAGAATAGGCCTATCGCCTCCTGTCTTTTTTGGGGTGAGAAAGTAATGGTAGTAGAACCCCTTGCCTTTGAACTTTCAGGCACTGTTTCTACTGCTCCAATGTTGAGCAGTCGGTAGGCCTCCTGTTTGAGCAGATCCTCATGAGAGAGGTCCCTGGGGAGGGTGGGGAAGTGGGAGGCAGTGTGGTAAATGGGATGTTGTACTCTGATGTTATAATTTCAAGGACCCAATGGTCCGATGTGATGGCTGCCCAGCAATGGTGAAAAGGCATCAAACGATGGTGGAAGATAGGGGTGGAATGAGACAGCTGATGCGTGATGGGGAGATTTTGTACATCCCTGACCAGAGAGTCAAATCTGCTGCTTATGACATGGTAACACAACTATGCAGGAAAACAATGAAAATGACAGTGTTCACACAACAATGAAAATGACTAACATGATGGCAAATGCAGAAAAACTGGGTCAATTACCCAAGTGTGCTCTGCATCTGCCATTTGACCTTTCTTATGGTGGTACAAAGCAATTAGGAAGCTTGCCTAATGGGATACCAGGGAATTACCCTTGCATATGGAGACTCTCAGGGAGATGCACAACCAAACTAGTAGCTCTATGTCAATCTCTTTTCCAGCCCTCTCATAAGGAACCATTCCAGTGGAAAAGGAGGGTAGGTTGGGGAATCCCTAAACACTGGCTATACCAGTTGCCAAAAAACAAACCCTGCAGCTGTTGACAGTAGTGTAGAAATGAGAACAGTCTTTGGGCTGCTCTAATTTACAATGGAAATGGAAGTGGTCCTCAACTGGCACCAGTGTGAAAAGTTGGTAAGTGTTTTGCTAGGTGGCTCTCCCTCTTCATCACACAAAAAAAGAAGATTTTTATTCCACTTTAAAAAAAAAAAGTAATTTTGGCCAATTACTGGTACATCTGAAATGCAATAGGTATGCAAGTAGATCATATGAAAGTAACTTGCAAAAGCAGAGAGAAACAGAACAGAAATTAGAAACAACCACCAAAGAGCTAAAGATACAACTGTTCAAGAATTAAATAAGCTCAACATTTGATGATGCTAAAACAGATGCATGTCAGTGAACTTATTTATCTCTCCGCTCTTACCAATTTGCCTTACTTGTTAATATTTCTCCACTATCTTAAGAGAGAAAATGGTACATACAGTGAAGATGCTATCAGATGTTCCTACTTGAAAGTAGGAATAAGAGATCCTCCGGAAAAGGGCTTTATTCCGGAGGATCGCGCCAGTCTAGACACTTTTTTCCAGCTTTTCCCCAAGCCGGAAAAAAAGCGGCGGACATGTTTATTTAAATCCACGGGGGATATTTAAATCCCCCGTGGATTTCCCTATTCTGACTTACCTGCTTTGCATGACTTTTCCGGAATTTGGGGCCAGTGTAGACATAGCCCTGAAGTTCACACACACACACACACACACACACACACACACACGCGATCTTGGACATCTGAAATAAATACAGAACTTAACTATGGGGCACAAGAACAGAATAGTACATTGTTGCTTCACAGTGTGAGTCCTTTAAACCAGATCAAGAGAAGACTCGTGGTTATTTACAGGTAAAGTTTTTCTTAAACAGAAAACTGTTTTCCAGCCAAAGGAGGATCCAAAAACATTACAAATACTACTTTTCTGAGACCTCAGAACACATTGACTGCATCACACCTTTAAGCTGGGGAAGGAGTATTTGACTGGCCAAATGAAGGGACCAGTGCTTTCTGGCTTGGGAAGTGAGGGAGAACAGGAAAACTGTTGCAAAATAGGAGGAGAGGTCAGTCGTGTCACTGACTCATCCCATGGGAATGAAGGGTTTAAAACATGTAGTCCTGTGCCTGAAGCCCCCTTCTACATGGTTACTGGTGCCTCCTTGTGTTGGATGTCCACAGGAAATGTATAGAGTGACCAGATAAAAGGCTTGGAAAAGGACTTATAAAAAGGGTGTTGGTTGAACGAATGGGGTTGGAACTTGGGTGGCTGTAGCTCCTAAGACTGATATGGTAGGGAGACAACCTCCCTTGCTCAAAGCGCACCTTACCCTCCTACGAAGGAAATGTGAGGTGAATGGTAAGGTTCTAGCAACAGATTGGCTGGGGGGAACCCAGATGGAAAGAGAGAGGGAGCTAGCAGAACCTCCCAGACAATGGAATAAATCTGAGGTTACTTGCCCTGTACACTTATCTGTTAGGCAGTCCCAGATATCTAATAATAAAGTTGTGGTCCTATTAAACCCATGTCATAGTGTCTTGTTCTTTTTTTGATAGAATAGGACAATGACAATTCAAGCCACTTCTCTATTCAATGTGGTAGTTCAACACTGTCTCAACTTGACCTTTCTAATTTTTCTCTTCTCACATAGGGATCCTTTGTGAAGAGTACTTGCCATCAAGGTTTGGATTCCCAGCAAACCTTCAGGGGTTTGAATGTTGCTGCCTCTGTTAACAATGCTGTTTGTTACAGCTTCAATAAATTAGACAACTTTTGACTATTTTCTCTCTCTCTCTATAAAAAACCTTTC